CTTTTGATTAGGACTCGTGTTTTCCTTTTCACCAGGGTCTGCTTTCTTTTTGTCTTCCTTAGCCAAACTTGGCTTAGGAAGTGGCACATCTTCCATGATTATGTCATCATTATTTTCATCATAATCTGGATTAATACGAGCTTTCTGCTTATCAATATTAGCCCTTTCACTCCTTGTTAGTGGTCCGGGTCTTTCTTTGATAATGGGTTCCTTCTTTGATGCAGGAGCTGGCTTTGATCGCGGGGCAGTCATAGGTTTATTCCCTATCACATTTTCCTTTCCCTTTGATCCAGTCTCCTGATCACGTACATTTTTCTTGGTAGGGGGAAAGACTCCGTCAAAGCGTTCTCGTCTAGCTTTGGCAGCGGTCTTTATGGTTCTTTCTGCTGGATATACGTAATAGTCTTCTTCGTCACTTTCATCGCCATATGCAGGGATCATAAATGCATCATTGTCGCTATCACTTTCTTCATCTTCTTCCTCGTCACTAGAGATATCATCAACTCTAGTCCTCCTGCTCCTTATCACATTGCTAGTCAAAGACTCCCGATTGACCTCATCGGGTCTAATAGCAACAAAGTGTGACATGGGAGCTGCTTCCCTATTAAGTGCTTCAATGACTGTTTCCTCCGGCATACGTCTGACTGCATTCCCATTAGGGTGTTGAATTTGTCTCTTTTCATTCCTCTTGATCCTTCCTTCAGCTTCTAGCTTGGCAAGGTGAGGGCAAATGGGGAGAGTATGTCCTATCTCTCCACATCCAAAACAAATCCTATTCTGAAATGGTGTTCCTTGTGGTTGGTAAAATCTGGAACCAGGTTGGGGTTGAGGTCTCCTTTGACCATATCCTCTTCCACCACCATTACTGGGAGTAGCATTCAATTTAGAACCTTGTAAGTCAGGAGACATTCCTGCACCAGCTCTGGGAGGGGGTGGAGAAATAATCTGCATGACTCTTGGGTCTAACTTAGTAACACGATAATACAAAAGAGCATACTGAGGATCCTCAAGTGACATGATATTGAGCTGCTTGATCAGATCCTCAATCTCATCACGTGGTTCCGTACTTATAGCTTCCTTGTTAGCCTTGGCTTTCTTGGAGGTTTCCATAGGAGTTGTTGTGCCAGAATGTCTGTCCTTATGTCTAGGAGTTTCTTTAGCAACATGTCGCTTCTTCGAACCTTTCTTAGTAGATTTGCGAGGTTTAATCTCTGCCTCATCATCTGAATCAGATGACTCCTCGCTTGAAGTCAAGGATGATTCAGTAGAGTCAGAGTCCTCAGAGTCCGAAGATGAGAGATCAGTCTCTTCCTCGGAGATAAGCAGATCTGAATCGAAACGGTCCCTGTGAAGTAGCTTCTCTGCAGCTGAGATAACTTTATCCACGCCAAATGCCTTGGATAAATCCTTGTCAGGTTCCTTAGCCATAAGTCTACTTTCAATCTTAGCACGCAAATTCTTATAAATTCCTTTCCAAAAATAACCTGCATACTCATCTGCTGAAATCTTCTTTGCAGTTTGAAGCCAACCTGCAATCCTAATAAATCCTCGTACATACTTCTTCCATGCCGCTAGAGTGGGAATACGTTGTCCCCTCATAGCCTTAACATAGGAGAGTAAATCCTTTCTTTTATAACGCTTTGTGTCCAAATCAGCGTCATAATACTTTAGAATGTCTGCCTTGAGAGCATTCCAATCGGCTTTCTCATATGAGTCCAGTCCTTCAATGAACTCGGTGACATGACGTGAAGTATACTGGGTAATAGTTTCACATCTGTCCTTGTCAGTGGTGACTTGGTTATAGTCACATAACTTTTCATAATGCTTGACAAACTTTTTGACTTCTGTAAAGTCTCCTTTAAACTTCTTGGGAGCTGCCTTACTCCCGGGGATAGGCATAGTAAGAATAGAGTGTGTCATCATAGGCAGTGTTGATGGTGACATAGTTAACTGTGTGGTTAAGATAGATGCTGGGGAAATTGTCGTGGACAATTTGGTTACCTGGTGTGTTGGATTCTGAATGGTTACGTTTGGATAGTACTCTGAATACGAGTAGTTTCAATAAGAAATCAAGAAGAAGCCTCCCTCGCGGTGGGCTCCAGTGATGTCTTAATAACCGAGGGTCTTATATAAATACGTGTAAGAATGTAATGACACCACAATTACACTGGATAAGACTTCTTGCCAGTCCTCGATTAACACGGTCTACGACTTTTCTTCTTTCGTGGTAGATAACGTGTGAGTTCTTGGGAGGCTCGCTAAACCAATCAGTCAGATTAACTTAGCCGGAGCTTTATTATCTCTGATTGAAACTATGGGATTGTCTAGGATATACCGTCTAGACACTTGAACTGGTTTCCTGAATATACGGTTAACTGTTGAGAAGCTGGTCTCAAATGTGACTACGTGGACCAAAGCTCGTGTTGGTCAATATACAAATACCTGGTGAGAACGCTGGTCTCACAAATAACAACAAATGACAAATAAAAAAACAATGACAAATAACAACAATGACCAAAGCTCGTGTTGGTCAGTATACAAATACCTGGTGAGAACGCTGGTCTCACAAAATAACAACGGTGACCAAAGCTCGTGTTGGTCAGTAAACACTACGTGGTGAGAACACTGGTCTCACAAAACTGGGTTTCTATCGCGAGAAACTTACGTAATCTCAAGGGAAACACTTTCCCTGCACTTGCCTGGACAGTTCTTACAAAGGAAATGGGCTTTGTAAGCAGCAATTTGTTCAGACTGAAGCTTCTTAGGTGAGAGTTCAATTTGCTCAAGTGGGAGTTCTTGAATGCAACAAGTGGGAGATCTATTTTTTTGGGGGAGAATGGGCTCTCCTTATATACATTTTGTGTGGGAATATTATGTAAGTAAAAAGGTGATGTAATGACTTCAGAATGTGAGAAGAATATTCCAAAAACTGGAGCAGAATGTTCTAGCAGGTGCAAAAGAACATTCCAGAATATTCATGGTGGGATAATGACATCATTCTGAGTCACTATGAGTCACTATGAGTCATTATGAGTCATTGGAATGTTCTAGCAAATTCCATGGAACATGACATCATTATGACATCACTATGATATCATATCTTTCAACCAAAATACCTGCAGGAGTGTAGGTGAAGTCCTATGACATCATTATGACATCATACCCTGTAGGTACAATTTTATGAAGCATCTGATTAGTCAGAGCATCCTAATAGAAAAGCAAAGTAAAGAAACACTAGAGAAAACAACTCAGAAATAATGGAACAAATAATAGTACACAATACGCGGGCTTTTTAGATAGGTTTTTGTTAGGCTTTGAACTTTTCTCTATGGGTTTCTCTAGCCAAAGTGAATAAGCCAAATGAAAGGCAGTACATTAACCTTCATTTTGCTTCTCATATCAACTAGGTCATTATGTGATTCCCATCTCACATATGACTTTTCTTCAAAACATGGTGGATTCATGAATCACTGAGGGAAAACTGAAACTATTGGACCAAGGTTTGATACCAAGGTATGGGTTGACTAGTCTGAGGACTAAGCTAACAGACTTTGTCTTTTAGGGGGATACCTAGTAGTCATGTCCATGCATGATTCCCAAATCATGCAGGACAACGGTACTCGTCAGCATAGTTGTGTAGAAGGTCTTGCAGGACTGCTTTTCCAGAGCGCGCTTGAGCTAAGATCCACCATTAGTAGTTGAACCAAGAAAAATAATATAACATACAATTTCCATCCGTCACTTGCTGATGTTTCTTCCAGCAAAACGCATTCCATGGGCTTGATTTCGTGCGCTTGAAGCACAATGCAGCATGGCCCACATACAAGTTGTTTTGCATGCATCGGATACTCTTGTGGTGAGAGGAAGCTATTGTCTTCACAGATTCATCAAGATGGAGCCAAGCCTTGTGAAGCACTGTCCTGAAAACTTGAGACTTCTGGCGACGTTGTGTTGTCAGAAGAGCTCTTGCTTCCTTGCTGAGATGGACCTTTGGACGAATTTGTGACAGGCGTTGCACACGGTTCTTTGCCATGGAGAGGGTCTGATTAACCATAGCGTTGAGCTGTGGGCAAAATAATCCATTTATGAGTCGCTTTATAGACGGTGAATTTGTGAAATAAGATTCAGACTATACCAATGGGGATCTATGTACAAAATGAAAATGGAAACATTGTAGATGAGCGCACTCTTACAAAATGGCAGGTAACTGATCTAGAAGATTAAGACCAGACAAAAGAAGTAAAGTGCGCAAATAAAAATGAGGGTGCCGAGCACCTGGAGAACCACCGAAAGTAGTGCGGAAATCTACAATGTATATCAGTAAGATTTAATGTCAAGAAGATACTGCAACATATTACCTTACGCACACCAACCACTGTCTGAGGGATATTCAAATCGGCACGAAGTGCCATTGTCAAATTGGAAGCCTGCTCATAGGTAAGATCCCACTTGGGGGACCTCAAGACAGTTTCCCAGTGGCTACTGCGCATGGTGGTAATGAGCTCACGGAGCTTCAGAATTGTTTGGTCCCCGATCTTAAACCGATCAAGTACAGCATCGGTATTGGGCCTGATGCTGATTAGTGGGGGACTGAAAAGCTTATCATCTGAACAGCTGGGATTTGTCTTGCGTAATGAAAAGGCCTCAGCGTGTCGACGCTGCTTCATCTGGGTGGTTCCAGCGGCCAAAGAAGTAGCTTGCTTCACAACTGATGACTTGGATGGAGTGGAAGATTCTGCAGCAAGAACAAATTCGCACTGGAGTTGTGCAGGAGCGCGAGCCGAACATTGAATCTGAGCACCAGTAGGACACAATGGCACAGGTAAGAATGGGGGTGTGGTTGGATTCACTGGAGTTGCGGGGACTGTGGCATGTCAGCAACAGACAAGGAAAACGAGGAAAAACTTACAGCGATATAAAGTTGTGATATCCTCCTTGTGGCAACGCTCCATGAACCGCTTGAGATGGGGCACTGCAAACTCCTGGCAGAACGCCTGCACAAGGACAGAGACATCTCCTCCAATCTGCTCAGACGTCTCGTGCAGTTCTCGTGGAGTGACATAAAGATCGACTGCGACACATTCAGGAGAGATGGTTCCCTTGATATGAGAACCTGGGCAATGAATGAGAAGGGAGAAACCACTGTCAAGATGATCTTGAGTGGTGAGCTAAAATGACAGTAAGAATGTTAGGCTCAAGCCATCAATATAAGATTGTACATACTGCATCAAATACATCTCCAAGAGCAGCGTCAACAAATTCCTCATGTGTGATGCTCCGTGTTTCCGTGGATGTCAGAGTATCATTGAAGGCTATGTATTCAGGATGGAGACCACCTGACGTCCTAGTGTGGTAGTGTGTGCCGTCAATATGCGACTGACTTCTGAGTAGAGCACGAGCTGCAGCTTGGTGATCTGTGTTGCTGAATCCCAGTGCAAAATTCAGGTTAGAGTAAAGCGCTGCCATCCCAGCAAGTGTGAAGCGTGGAGGACAAGATATCGGCTCGTCTTTAACTGAAGGATCAGCCGCAGCCTTTGACTTCATTGATGAAAACATGGACGCAGGTTGAAAAAATGGGATGCGAAGAGTGGTGCAGAAGTTCAAATAAAGCACAATTAGCGCCTATCTCCAGTTTTATGTAGTAATGTGTCAGTCTCATCATACTGCAAAGATGTGTAGAACTGCACACATTCAAGTTGAGATTGTATCCACTGGCTGCAAGGCGTTTGTTTCTGTCACTCGCAACTGTAAGTCGAAGTTGCCGCATACTGCACAGTGCCTTTGAGTGTGCTTAATTGAAATGTCTTGACTCACTGCAGATGTGGCAACTTCAAGTCAAACTCGCCGCATTGACTTGAAGTTGCCACATCTGCAGTGAGTCAAGACATTTCAATTAAGCACACTCAAAGGCACTGTGCAGTATGCGGCAACTTCGACTTACAGTTGCAACAACACGTTACACATGTTCAACTACATGAGTAATATATGGACTTCAAGTTGAACACCTTCGAGCACAGTAGTGATTGAAACATTTGCATAGCATCTATATTGACAGTGTAATTTGAATGCAGCCTCGACTAATCTACAATGCCTGATAAGTAATCTGCAAGGTCCTGCGTAGTCTGAATATCCTCTTCATGTTCGAGAATGTCCGTAGTATACTCGGATGTGATATCGGTGATGTCGCGATCTGCTGATGGATATTATAATTGCGTCCAAGTCAAAAAAAAAACACACACACCAGACAATCTATCACCTAGACCGTCACTTATACCAGGCTCATTATCTACTGCAGAGCCGAACTGTCGTCCAATACCTCGAATACCTGAGAAGCCGGGTTGTGACTCAATCTGATCTAGCCGGAACAAATGCACATAATTAACTGCTGAATGGAGTTTCCAGCGGTTCTGCAGCTCCCAACACAGTGCAGGATGCGAGTCAAGGAGTTCATTCACAGTTGCAGTCATCTGTGCATCTTTGTCGTGTATGGCAGTCTGCAGACGACAAACTTCGATGTTGAGGCGCTGAATCTCCTCATGTGCTCAACGGAGCTTGAAGAATTTGACAGAGGCTTCTCGATATGCGGGTTTTGACCAGTCAACTTCGCGAATGTCGGTGCGAGAATAACGAAGGAGATCGAACTCTCCCAGGAAGCTGTAGTCAGCTATATCCTTCCATGATAACTGCGGCCGGGGGGGATCAAGGGCAACAGCCTGATTATTATACTTATTGATGGCATTCCAAATCATGTCCGAGCGTCTCTGCAATGCCTTTCCGATCTGTTGCTGTAGTTTGTATCCTGCCAATAATGATTAGTTACCATTGAAATTCGATGTAGTACAGTAATGTTAGCTTACCGGTGCCAGAAAGTGAGAGTTTGGACAACTCAAATAGACGCATCACAACAAGATGCTCTAACTCATCAAGAGCAACATGATACCTCTGTAGTGATGCCTCTTCCTTGTATTTCATATAATTGTGATCTCCTACTATCCAGCGCTCTTCTATCGCAAGCTGATTTTCAATATGGCTGGTGAAGGCCTTGGGATTCTGGAGCTTAGAGTAAGCTGCGTCAACTCGAATTCGTGCTTGAGAAATAGAAAGGTTTATTTGTTGTAGATTACCAATGGCAACATCGGTCAAAGCCTGATTGGCAGCTTCTCGAGCTCTGACCCACTCTAACCTGTTATAATGTAAGTGACGGAAATGAAATATGACTTAAGAACCAGTGGGACCCACCGCTGTTCAGCTAACTCATTGAGGACTTGGACATAGCGGATTTGAAGACATTCTTGGAGGGGCAGCTCTTTAGGAGATTCAAGGTATGACCTTTCATCAGCATGGAACCGGATGAAATCAGCATCGGTCAGGTTGAGGGCTTGTTTCACAGCCAAAAGTTCAGCCGTGAGCATGTGTACGAGAGACAGTGCTTCCCGATAGTGGTTTCGTAAAAATTGGCCTGTAAAAGTATTAGTAGTGGTGTGTAGTATGTAAAACAAGACAGTACTTACTCAATGCTGCGTATTTGTTGTCATCCCAGAAGGTAAAATGCTCTTCGAGTGTTTGATGTCAATGGAATCGAGACGTGTGTCTTGTGCCTTGTGCAAGTTCATTTGAAGAGGAGAATACATGTTCGCATCCCTCACCCTCAGTTAGTCCAGTTCCTTCAATGTACATCGGGTGCCAATCTAGTTGGCACCTTCTATTGTGAGCATGACCGTGAAACGCACCGACCATCATGCGCAAATTAAGGGATTGGGCAAGGGGGCCAAGACTGCTGTTGCCTAGCGTCTTGGAAAACGCACAGCCAATATCATAGGCACAGCTGGCATTCGCTCCGAAGACAGACAGCAGTTGACTCATAAGAGCCAAAGGATATTTTGCTCTAAACTTTAAATTAGCACAATGCTGTCAGTGAATGAAACTTAACATACAGCTCACCACTCCGAACCATATCGCACATGAGAAGTACAAATCGATGCCAACACGTAGCAACAAAGATGCCAGACTCATCAAAAACAGCAAACATCTTTTTCCGCTGCTCGGGCCCAGCATTTCGCCACCGCTCGGTACAATTGAAGGTCAACTCAGGTTCCACTGGCTTCGCGACTTGATCTTCCCAGTCATCCTGTATATTTAAATTTAGTTGGGTCAACTATTCAAGCACATACACATATCATGAACATACCTCTGATCTTCTCACTGTATCCTTGAACTTATCAACGGTTACTCGATCGACCCAGTAATCAGAACGAGCTTGTCGAGGATCTACCCGTGGGGTAAGGCCGTAAGTCAAAGACGCCCATCTTTTGAGACTGTTATTGCCATTGATGGAGAAAAGCCGGTCTATCACCTGTGGTGCCTCCTCGTCGAGTTTGTAGGAACAACATGGGCATGCATTTAGTATCCGCCAATTGGGAGTGTTGCACTTGCGTACTTCGTTTAAGCGGCGATCAACATGATGTAAAATCTCAAGATATACGTCATATGCGTCTGAGAATTGCGAATTTAGGTATGGTCAATATGGCATCTATAATACAAGATCTAGTAGTATCACATAAATTATGACACATGAGAAGACCTACATTGTGAAGATGGCACAGCGCTTTGCACTGTGCCTGGATACTAAATTGTGGGCAAGTTTGATGGTATTGACGATAAGTTGCGAGGGTTCGGATGGAAATGGCAACCGATGGATATAGAGGAGAGCACCCCAAATAACCATGGTAGATGAGCGTCTCATTGGGGTAGCGATGGGAGATCAGAGGCTGGAAGGACATCTGCTGACGGCCTGCAGAAGGTCAAGAAAGTACTACATAGCTACAAAAACATACCAAACATGTTGACCAAGTAGATGTCAGTCAGCGAGTGCCCATCACTCCCGTCAATAGCCACATCAGCATCTGGAATATGTGGCATCCCATTCCCATGATCGCGCAAACGGTAGTCGAGATAGGCATTGACCAACTGGTCAAGTTGGCTGTTCCATTGCTCCACTTGAAGCTCTATGCGGTCATGTCGTGTGTGGGAATCAACATAGCAGCTGAAAGTATGAGCGAGCAAAACAGCTAATTGGACTAGGACATACTTACTAGTTTGATAAGCTAGTGACCTGCTCTGATAAGCCTTCAAAGGCTTCATACTCCCCACCCTCATGGCTGATATCAAGACCTTCTTCACCTAGTGGCGCTGTGTAAGGTTCGTTGTCCATGTCCATGCCAACGTCAGAGATCATGTTCTCGGCTATCTACACTCACCTGATATTTCCTGTCTTCTCTTGCTTTGCAATGACTCCTTCCATTCACCTTGCTTACTAGCTGATAAGACCATGGTCTGATGACTGAGACCACAGAATTTATGTTTGATGGAGGCTTTGGACAAGCCGGAGACCTTTCTGGGGGAGGAACCATGGTTATACATCAAGTAGGTCCACTTATAGAACGCCGGCAAGTGGCTTGATGCTGAAGAGGACGATGAGGAGGGAAAGAGAACAGCATGGGAATAGTTTCTAGGAGGAGCGGGAGGTTTGGCAAGGAAGCGGGGGTTACCGGATAAGTAATAGAACGGAACGGAATGTACTTACCCGAATTACCCTGTGCCGATACTTATATGCAGGTATATCTAAGGACATCCCGCAGTATTTGGGGCAGGATTTATCGCTGGTGTAGAGGATTTGAGCAAAAGACTAATGTGATAATTGGCGAGACATGTTATTGGCTACTATTATTATAGTTACTTATTGGGAAGGTCAGGTGTACTGCACACACCAGTGCCGACTGGTGCTGTGCTGCTGGTCATGGGGCTGGTCCGCGTTCGCAAGTTTATCAGCGGTAGACGAGGAAAACTACGAGCTTCGTTTTGTAACACACCCAGAGCTCGAGGAAGACTTCAACAAAGCAGAGGAAGAGCAATGTGAAAAGGATAAGGCCGATGCAGAGAAGCAGGCCACAAATAAGACAGAAGATGAAGCGCGCCACACTCAGATCGAACGCGATATTGAGTTGAAGACGTTTGATGCACTCTCAACACTCCGGTGCAAGGATGATTTTATCGCAGTTGCTGGCGCTCTCAAGATTTCAAGAGACAGAACGGTTGAGGAACTCAGGACTAGAATCAAAGAGTTTCTTGCTGATGCCGCAAATCAGCACTTTGCCGACAATCCACGTTTTGCTGCGCTCTTCCAGACAGGAAAAACGCGTTCGAAGAATAAGAATTTAGCCACTGCGTCATCAACAGGACAGGCTAGTAGTGGCGCCTCACAAGACAATGACGCTACCTCAGTCCTCATCCAACACTTCCGGTACTCATTTTTTCACCCCACCTGCCAGTGCACATTCTTTTAATCCATATTATCCTCCACACTTTACTAACCAGCCATATTTTCATCAATTCTATGCTAATCCAGCTCTCCGCGCACCATCTTACTCTACAACGCAACATAATAATTCATCCGGCGGTCCCATTGCATCATCATCAAACTTAGACAGACAACCTCAGCATCCTTACAACACACAGTCTCCCTACACATCCCCCTCAATTCTACAACTATGGCACTAATCATGGTCACCCTCATACTTAGATTTTACTAGTATATACTGTACTTGCTTGCTCATGCCGAATACTAACTCACTTCCTTGCGCTCCTGCTTGACTGCCGAGCTGACTTTGAAACTGGCTCAGTGACATGTTGTAACTTACTGTGACATTTGTGTGACTGCCGACTTCTGGGGGCTGCTGATTGCGCGTACCATAATAGTAACATTCGTCAACATCGTCAGCCACCGTGGCTAGCGAAGTGGAACACAAATTTATTTATTAAGACTGACGTAGGGTTAGATTTACTGCAATATATGTCAGAGTACAATGCTGGTTATACCAATTTAATGCTTCTGTGCTCATACTATGTCAATGCAGTGTGTGGTAGAAGAAATCATCGATGTCTTTCAAAGAAATAGCATCACAGCATCTCAATTTATTCTCTCATTACTCACCTGCCGACAGTTCGATAATCATCATGTTGTGCGAGATTTAGTAGCATGCTCACCCGACATACATACTTGCAGCATTTCTGCAACATCCTTCAAAGGAAGACACATTCGTACACTCCATGTGCAAGATTGTTCATGAACAATACATCACCGACATGCAGACAATCTCATCTGAAGGTGCAGGTTGGCATTTTGGTGCATCCAGTGCCACTACCAAGCAGCTGGAGGACTTCAGCATCAAAGAGATGGCTGGGGAGATGGAAACTAGCGCACCTGCATTGTGGAACCTACTGGGTGGGTTACTTGGTGAAGATCGCAAGCTGCCACTGATCATACATGAGAAAGGAGATCAAGACGCACCCAACAGCATGAGCAGTATGCAAATGTCCGATGATGACAGTTATTGGGATCAGGTTGAAGTAATAGATCTTGAGGGGTTTATCAACGGACTTACATCTTCAACAGCACCCAAAGCAGACCGACATGAATTGCGTAGTGCTGCAATTATCAGCATTGTGAGTCGGCTCTCGTCAAATCGATTGATTTAAATGTACCCCTATTAATAGTGTCAGAAAAGGTGGTCATTCTCAGTATTTTGATGCAAAGTACCAACCGCAAATCCAACACACTGCAAAGTATACTCGGTATATTCTTGCAGTCCATGCACACACCACAGCACGTTGTCGACACCCTTGCATGAATCGGTATCTCGATATTGACAGATTCAATACATGCTGCAATCAAGTCATTGTCAATCGAGTCACAAAACACCATGTGTGATCTCGGGCAATCTCTTCTTCGCATCATATGTGTATGATAATTTCGATGTTGACCTCAAAACACATGTTCCGTCAGCCGAGAAGTCCAATGAGTCGCTGAAACATCTTACCTCTGGTTTGATGTTTCCACTACAGCATGGGGTCACTACTGATGACTTGAAATTTCCTGAAGAGCTCTGGGCAAAGTCAAATTTGAATGTCTATACAAGGGACAATGACTTACCTGCACGGAAAACATGGAGGGACCTTCTGTCCATTCATCTGCAGTCAATTGAAACACCCACCTCAAATCTAACCTGACACGACAAATTTAATTCATGGATGTTCTTGACGGACCTATGTACTCATGGCCCCGAGTACTTCCATCGCTTCCGCTCAGAAATAGAAGAGCCAGAAGGTGTGGAACAAATTCCCCTGGTCAAAACACCAATCACTGCAACATGCGCAATGGATGTCAATAACTCAACTGTGAGTGGAAATATTCAAGTGGTCACCAAACTTTTAGCGCAGGGTGGTATTTTGGATCCAACCAATGCAGAACTTGATACACCTGAGATCTCGCAATACATGGTCTTGATTCATGGAGATCTTGGGACAGGTGAACGGCTCCAAACAGCCCAGTTATGACAGTCAATTGAGGCAACACCATGGGATCACTTGCAGCATGTCATATACATTCCTGGCCTGTTCCACTTGAAGATGGCATGTGCAGATGCTATCTGGCGGTGTTTTCTCCAGCTGCTGGCTGCCAGGGAAGATGAAACAAGTCTGATGCGTGACATATCACTGCTCCGACCTCGAGAAACTGGAATCTACTGTTCCAAACCAGGTTTTCGGCGGATGCACCAACTGGTTGGAAGTGCAGGTACTTGTTGGCGGCTCAATTGTTGGAGAGTACATGTCAAAAGCAAGAACTCATCTCATAGCAGCCTAGAGGCATTTGCGGCGTCTGAGCCAATGCTCAGTGATTTGAAGGTCTTGGCCGATGAACTTGCGCAGAGGTACATAGTGAACCACATGCTACAGCGCTTGCAGCGACGGCCTGCAAAAGATCTGTTACAAGAACATTGGGTCGTGTTAGGCCCCTATTCATTTTCCCTTTCCCTTTGTCTTACTTTGTACTTACTACGTCATTTCACTTCGAACGCACAACTCTTCTAGATCGCTGTGCACGTTTTACTGTTACCATTGTTCCGTTCCTCTGACTCACAACCCTATGCCCTTACCGCCTGACCAGTACTTATCTCTGACTCACTTTCCCCTTTGCCCTTACCACCCAACTGGTGCTATCTCACATATGACTCATTCTGACTCGTCCCCTTTGCCCTTACCACTAATTCGGCAGTCCTGCCCTCAACCACTTCCTACCTATATATACCAGTAGGGTATCGCTTGTACTTTCTAACTTGAATCTACTTGGTTCTACCTGCCTATCTGCTAGAAGCCTTAAGCAAGCTTCACTTTCTCATCTTAATCTCTGTTGAGCTCATCGCTCAATAGTCTTGCTAGCTGAGAAACACGATTAGAGACACGCCGTCCTAATTGTCGATAATACCTTTGTCTAGTTGACAAAGCTATTGCTCAAGAACTCTTGCTATCGAACGCTCGCTGGTCTCAGCAGGCTTAGCAAGAGCCCCTATCCAAGTTCTAGTTGCGAACTCGCATTAGTTCGTAACAAGATCGAGACTTGCAATACAAGAACTCACTCTTCATGAACAAGTTATTCCTACACTACGAGGAGTTATTGTATGCGATGAATCAAGGTGACATTGGATGTGTTGAAACATGCATCATTGCATGGATTCCTATCCTGAAAGCTACAGGCAAACATAAGTATGCTACACACATGACAAACTTCCTCCTCAATGTGCACTATGTCTACCCACTGGGCCTCAGACGAGCAGTGCAATACCATATTCTGGTCAATCCAATTGGGAAAAAATGGCTTGGCGTGCTGTCGACTGGTGTGTCGAGTTAAACAAGTTGTTCACAAAGGTAAGTAGTACTATTTTGCATATCATGCTGTGTCTCACGGACGACAGGTTAAAAATGGAGGCAAAGGGTCCAACCACACTGTCAAGTGCATTTTTCTTGAATCACCGCTTGTGCAGGCATACCATAATGCACAAAGCATGATTCACAAAAACTTCCTTCTCACCCACCTCACTATGAAACACTCAAGTCCTAACATGAAGAAAACATTTGAATTACTATGTAACCAACTGGCTAAACAGTCCCCGCACTCGCCAACACCTGGTAGGAACAGCTGATGCATTATCACTGACTTTATAGACAAAGGCAGAGAGTTGATGGAAAAAGCTGCACATGGAGAAACAGATGAAGGGGATGCAGAAGGGGATGAGGGATGAGCAGAATTAGATGATGTACTTGTTGGATTGCTTTGAACATCTTGAATTCGTGTTTGGACTTTGCATTGTCAGCGGTGTTCATAAAGGGGGAGGTACTGATACCTGAGTGGCTATTAGACAGTGTAGTGCAAGTGGGAATTTATATACTTACGTTTTCCTTGTCCTGGCCTATATGAGAAGGATGCTGTGTGCAAGCAAGATTGCATGCTGGATACTAAATTGTTACAGCTCTCCGACAAATAAAATAAATGATGTACCGTTGTGTCCTTCCTGATTACAGGCACTGCACTTGATCTTGCGCTTTGTAGTGTTCGTTCTCGGGGCTGGACAAGGAGATGGTAGTGGCAATGGAACATTTACATGACTGGATAGATGGGGTCTTAGAGGCGTCCTAGCACAAGGGGATGCGACAGGCAGAGCATGCCTTTGAACAAGTGCAACAATCTCAGCACTGAACTTGTCAGCATCCATCCAGCCTGTCTCCTTCTTCACATCATGCACACTGTTCAGCTTGTAGTAATGTGCACAGTCAATGATTCTGTCAAGCATTGAGTTGGGCATGACGAGAGAGGGACCAAGGTCATTGAGATGAGCCCATCCATATGTAGAAATAGTCTTCTTCTCGCGCCAGTCATCCAGCGCATCCTGTAGGATGATGTCATGTGCTTCTCTGGTGTACTTTGGGATTTGTGAGTGCTGTGGTATAGCAGGTGGTTTGTTGATATGTTGCTGAGCAGTCGTTGGAGTGATGGATGTCACAGCAGATGACAGGTGCTTCAATACAACAATGAGAGCAGCCCATCAGATTTCTAGGGTCACACTCAAGGTGGTCAGAGTCTGCTTGTGCCAAAAGGTGAGCACGTTGACCATAGTCAGAAACAGGAAATTTTCACCGGCCATGTCATTATCAAAGCAAACATTGAACACCTTCCTTCTACACTTAAATCCCATATGGCTGTCAGCATTGATTAAGTAGTCCACACCTGGGTCCAATTCTCTCTTCTTCCACTTTTCAGGACAACCAATGTTTTTCCTCGCCTGTTCAACACTCGCCATTGCTCCCTTCAACTCCTGTATGCTCCCAGCTACCAGTGAGTTTCCATTAAATTCATTGTCGTCCGAATCATCCCCATCGGATTCATCTCCAAGTTGTTCACTGTTCCCATCATGTGAAGTCACAACAGTACTAATAGAAGGACCCCCAGGATCTGAAGGAACCATGGTGTGGCGCTTACCAGGGTGTAGCATAGCTGGTGGGTCAGCAGCTTTCCGCTTTTGAGCATTTTCGCGTTGCACCTTTCTGATGACTTTCGCATGTCGCTCATCGTCAAAGTGCTCTTTCTCAGCAAACAGTGAAGCTGTTTCTAACTGATTCTTGTTGCGCACTGCACGTCCAAAACACTGCCACAAAGTCATAAGTTTGCAAGTTGCTTGCCACTGTATTACAAGCTGAATATCAGGAACATCCATGCCCTGCAAGAGGTGAGTGAGTTATGTCCATTGTACTATATAATGTCGAACCTCACCATCCTGAATGAGTCAGTCGTACAGAGTCCCCATGTTTCACTTGAGATGAGGTTGTCAAGCTCCACTTCCTTGTAAGTACTCATCATATCAGAGTTGAACCATTTGATCTTATTGCTGCACTCGACCAGTAGATGCTTGCGAAGGTACTGTGCTGCATTGATGGCCTCCTGGATGTCATCAAAAAAGATGAGAAACTTTTGCAGGGGCGGATCCCTGGCATTCCAACCTCCTGGGATCAAAAATGCAAGATCTGCATAACTATTAAGTGCATACTTAATTTTTATTACCCCGATCTTGATATTAGGATGGTCTGTTGAACGACAAATGAAGGTCATCCTGTCTGCATGCATGTGCAAAAGTCAGGTTGCATTCAAGAGTGAGTGTTTCATTAGTGTTGCTGATGCAAGCATGATAGGAACCATCGATGGCAGAATGTATCGAAGTTGTCCAAGTTCTTTGTACTCAGGACAAAAGTCTCCCCAATCGGTAAGACAGTGCGCCTCATTAATCATGATACTGATAAGCCGTGAAACAAACAACACATTTTTAGCAGTTTCTCAAATGAACCATTTGGTTTCATGAGTTGCTCGGGACTGATGGCAATTGCATGATACTTCAGCGCCACGATAGCCTATGTGATTGATAGGTAACTTAGATAATGTTAATACATCCAGTATAGTGCAGCACTCACCAAGAAATTTGTAGGTGTAGCAGACTCTCTATCAATGGATATTCCATGTATGCCGGCCTTGGCCAGTGACACTGCATTTTGTTTGCCTAGCATATTAAGAGGGGTGACAATGATTTGAATGCCGCCATCATGGAACAGCAAAGGTAATCAGAATCTGAGCATTTTCCCCATTCCAGTGCCTGCCGTGCATATGACATCCTGGTCCCCTTTGAGCAGAGCCTGGGCAACTTTAAGCTGCCACAAACAAGGCTTGACACCGAATTTTGCGAGAGCGTGTGACCGAATGTCGGCCAATGATGGTATCTGCTGACTGCCAGAAGGATCTTGATTAGGAGAAGGTGCCAGTGCAGCCATTTGATTGTTGCTATAGCCTATGATTGCCAGCATTGTACTCTACAAATATACTTACAAATATTACAGTAAATCTAACCCTATGTTCAGTCTTAGCAAATAAAATTCATGTTTCACTTCACTAGCCACAGTGGCTGACGATGTTGACGAATGTTATCTTCCAGCCGCTGGTGAGAGTGTGAGAGGAATTAAAGTTGGGCTGGGTTTCAATTTTGCTGGTGCACGTGATATTCTACTTAGTATGTCGTCTCATGTAATCTCAACTCGCCCCTCCACACTCGAACCAGCGGATGGGAAGGAGCCTGCACCAATGCCAGAAGAAAACACTTTCGGTTTGTTATCTTCAGTATGCCAGAATAATGATCAGATAATAGATTGGTCACACCTAGCTTTCACATGACCTAAACTCACCTATGATTCCAACATATCTCAATTAGTAAAGTGGCCTAACTGCACTCTTTCAGCCACTTAATTAAGTTGATTTTTGTTCATATGGAGGACTGGCAGTGCACACCAGCTGGTTTCAGTCACTTGTACATGTTTTCTTAGCAGCCTTTTACTTCTCTTTCCAGTATGTCTTTCTCATGCCCATTTGGCAACCATGCCGACACAAACAGCATTGCCACTGCTAGTGCTGCTGTGGTCCGGTTCAGTCCGGTTCAGAGGGTCCTCAATGAGAACCGAGAATCAAACCATGGTCCGGTTCTACAAAATCATTGAACCCAGAACCGGACCATTGAGAACTGTTCTCAACGGTCCAGTTCGGTTTTTTTCTGGTCTGAACACGAACTGAACTGTAAATTTTCCAAGCATAAACAGTTGGGCGCTCAATGATTTAATTAGCGAAGGAGAACACTCAATGCAAGAAAGAGGCCAGCAGGTACAAGAGAGTTGTAGCAGGCATGAGAAGGTAGTAGGAGGTGTTTAGGAGGGTGCAGCGGACTGTAAAGTTGCAAGTAGGCAGCATGAGGTGGGTACAGCCTGAGATTTTGAGAAGCTTCTTGATAATTCTTGAAGTGTTTGGATACACTACAGTGCACATTTGCAGCAGACTCGAAATGCGCGCAAGTAAAAGTCATCAAAATGTCATCTGGATGAACAGACAGACTTACCCCATCAAAAACTACAACCACTATGACAGATCAATAGAAAGGACCACATTTCAGACATGCACGCCTCTTCGTTCTGAAAGGATATGCGATTCCAAGTGACTTGTGAGCAGAATGTGGTCACGGGCAGATCAGGCTCATGAAAGCCTGTGCAATTGTCTCTTCTATCACTTTTAGACATCTCATCCTCTCAGCTACTGTGAATGCAACAGCAGACTTTCCGACACAAGCCGTGCCATGCAGCCAAACAAGTTGATTCTTCTGTGTTGTCGAGGAATCCGTGGATGTGGATGTATTCGAGGAGATCCACCCAGGTCCTTTGCAGACATTTTGGGTGGGTGGTCAAAATGAGAGGAGAGTTGAGTTGGACTTGCACACACAGACAAGCAGAGACAAGTGCAGAGGTGGGGTCCAAGACATCCAGCATTTGCCTATCGGACATTATCTGCAGCAGCAGGGAAGTCAAGCGTTGTCAACAGGCAGCTATACTGTCAAGTATTGCAGTGATCTGACTGCAGTCCAGCAAGCACAGGTTGCCCATTGGATATTTGATAACATCGAAGAGGTGCAAGAGACTGTGGTGCAATGGTTAGGCTGCGTGGCATTTGCTCACGCACTCAGTATTATGCTCACATGCAACAAGCGCAGCATATTGGAGGCAGATCCCAACTGCCCCAGAGATGGCACCACGGACGCACAGGAAGAATTCATTCTTGAAGTCGCATGGTCAACCCTTTTAAACCAGACTGGCAAAAGCACAGACGTGATCCACACGGATGTTGACCTGGAATGTCTGTCGGTCTTTGAACAGCGCGTTGTGACAATCATATTGGCGCTAGTCATGTATACCTGCATAAACCTCCAATAGGTGGACCAAAGTTATCCCTCATATTATTCACTACTCCCCTATCAGCAGTCTTCACTTGTCTCAGCCATAACCCTTGTCTGACACTATTCCGCACTTTCCCACACTATGCGCGCACATTCCCACAGTGTTATTCATGCTCCCACGACTTATCTGATGCTATTCCCGCGCTTATAGCGCTATCAGAACTACCAGCAATGTGTCTATAGGAGCATTAGTGCATGTCCGCTCTACCTAGCGCTTGTCCGCTCTATCTAGTGCTTGTTCCTGCGCCTAGCGCTAGTACAGCGCACTGTTCTCACGCTCTAGGAATCACCTGAAATGTCGGAATCCATCCATGGTCCATCCTACCTCATTGGTATGTAATTTGCCTTGCCTCGAGTTTGTAAAAAGTGCTACAGTCTTATTACATGTATATCCTATCCCTTCTGAGTCCGAGATGGTATAGATTACTAGTATAAGAAGCCTATGGTGACTACTTCGACATCACTTCCCTTCAACTGTATTTCCTTCTCCTTAGGTTTTACTTAGAAGTAGTCACCTTTAGTTGCGCTCTATGGCCCCTATTTGACTTTCCTTACCCTTGCAATCAATACCCTTGATCTCACTCGCTATCCATTACCTTCCTTTGACTCAGTGTCTGCTTTCTTGACTTCCGCTCTTTCCTGCACATCAGCACTCTATCTTGCGACGCGCTATTCCCGCACATTAGCACTCTTTTGGGTCTTTTGATCTTAAGTTGTTCTTAGTAGCTTTTCCCTTGGGTCGAACATTCTTGCATCTTTGTTGCAAGTATAGCAGCATAGGCAGAGCAGTAGACATATACTGGCTGAGTACCTTAACAAGTGCCTAGTCAGGTTGTGTTTTTCACAGCGTGTTCGAGAAGTCAGCTCAGTCAGGCTCTGCAGGAAACTATCAGTGGGGCCTGGATGCTGGGAACCATCAAGATGGTTGGGACCCATATGCTGGGCTCCCATCCCACTGGAACCACGAGGATCATAATGAAGGAGATCCTGGTTATGATGAAGACGAGCTTGAGGTACTATGCTTTCCAACTTTCGAAACGGTTCTAGTAAATGATCAACTTAGCACGGTGTCATGCATGGTATGTGACTCATACCATGACATATACATAGCAGGAGTAATAAGGAAGGTATAACACACCAGATTGTATCCTATCACCAAGTTACCCCATCATTTTTCCCTTAGTTATTAGCTAGTATTTTCACTTTCAAAACTTCACTTCCATTTTCCATGTATTTCTATTTTGTTCCATGGGATTCTATCTCTTTCCATTTTTCTAGGCATATTTAATCATCAGACTTCCTCTCCAGCCACAAAGCATGTTTGTAAGCTTGTCATGTGACTGGTTAATAATCTGATTTGTAAGGATTCAACTTGACTCATCATGTTTTTGTCATGATTTGTCATGCTTTGTAAGACTTGCAAGTGTATTTATAAGCTACTTAGTAAGAAGGCTGATTCAGCTCACTCAAAAGATTGGTTTGTATCCTTGGGATGACTCATGTCTTTTATTCATCTTTCTTTAGTAAACAAGCTGACTCAACACACCAAAAGGATTGATTTGTAAGAATGTTCTTACCAATCCATGTGCTGAATCATGCTTAGTAAGATGGCCTCCAAAAAGGTATAATAGGAGCCCATTTTGCCACTGTCAATCTAAGCTTCCCACTTTAAAACCCTGTTCTCAAATCAAGTGAGATTACCTAAGAAATAAAGTGCAGGCAAAATTATTGCCTTGAAGTAAGACTAAGAAATATCTATCTGAGTTATATACTACCTTACAGGGGCTGACTATATAACAAACTAACCTTCTAAACTTAAACTAAACTTCACTCATACAAATAACCTCTCTCTTTTACAGGAAGGGAGACACAAGCTAAGAGAACTACTTCACACTGAGGCAAACTTTCATAGGGTGAAATAAACCTATTCAATTGACAAAGGCCTCAAAGCAAACTTACAGAGAGAAAACAAGAAGGAGACATTTTTAAGTAAACCCTCCCAAGAACTCACACATTATCTACCACGAAAACTAGAAAAGTCGTAGACCGTGTACTTAAGGACTGGCAAGAAGTCTTATCCTATATAGTTGTGCTGTCACTATATACGAGTTGTATATAAGACCCTTAAGTAAGAGGACAGCGGGCCAGGTTTCAGTGACAGCGACAATATGACGAGCAACATACGTCACGACCTCGGAAGCGACAGGTAACAAAATCCCATGGAGGACCAAGAAAGCGAAGAAAGTTAGCACTGACCGCGTCTTGAGATGATGCCCATGACTGCGCAGTCACTCACTTAGAAGAAAGAAAAATAGCATTGTATACGCAGGAATAGGGAACTGCACAGTGTCCTCTTACTTAAGGGTCTTATGTACACCACTTATATAGTGACAACACAACTATATAGGATAAGACTTATTGCCAGTCCTTAAGTACACGGTCTACGACTTTTCTAGTTTTCGTGGTAGATAATGTGTGAGTTCTTGGGAGGATTTATTTCAATATACCTTCTTTCCTTGTTCCTTGGTTAGTTTAAAACAATTTGATTCTGTATACTGAGTCTACGGTATGAATTGTGTCTGAGAGTTAGCGTGCTTGTGTATCGTGTAGCGTGAAATGTGTAGCGTGAATCGTGTCTCCCTTCCTGTAAAAGAGAGAGGAAAATAGTATGGGTTAAACTTAGTTAGATTAGCTGATAGATTATATAATCAACCCCTGTAAGGTAGTATATAGTTGAATAAATGTTTCTTAGTCTTACTTTGAGGCTAATGATTTGCCTGTATTTAGGTTCTTACTTAATCTCACACTATTTGAGATGAGTGAAGGTGGGAAGTGCTCCATTTATTACATGGCAAAATTGGGCTCCTTATATACCTTTTGGAGGCCCTGATTACAAAGCATGAATCATCACATGGATTGGTAAGAATGTGCTTACTAACAATGCCATTTGGTGTATTGAGTCAACCTGTTTACTAATTTACATTATAAATACAGTGTAGTTTACAAAGCATGACAAATCATGGCATGAGTCATCACATGGATTGGTAAGGATGTGCTTACTAACAATGCCATTTGGTGTGCTGAATCAGCCTTCTTACTAAGTAGCTTATAAATACAGTTAGGAATCTTACAAAGCATGACAAAACATGACAAAACATGATGAGTCAAGCTCAATCTTTACAAATCATGATATCTACCAGTCACATGACATGCTTACAAACATGCTTGGTGGCTGAAAAGAAAGTCTGTTGGCTGAATATGCCTGAGGAAAATAGAAAGAGATGGAATGTCATAGAACAAAATAGAAATACATGGAAAAATGGAAGTGAAGATTGAAAGTGAAAATACTAGCCAATAACTAAGGGGAAAATGATGGGGTAACTTGGTGATAGGACACAGTAGGGTCTATTATACCTTCCTTATCACACCTCTTGTGTATCTGTCATGGTATGAGTTGCATACCATGCATGACAACGGGTACGGGTATACCCGTGCAGGTGCGGGGTACGGGTACCTCTGGGGTATGGGTACGGGTCTAGTATTGCAATACCTGTACCCCTACCCATACCCCCGTGCTGGGTTTTGCCACACCACTGACTGCTATGGCAACTGCCGTGACCACTGCTGTGGCTCCCAAACAATGAGCATGCATCAACTAGACTTACTGAAACAATCTTTTGTAGTCAACTTTCACCGTGCTTGCTATCAATTGCCCATCTCGTGATACCGCCAATGCCCACACCTCGCAGAAATTTCCCTCCATCTTCTTCAACACAACACCTATCTTCAAGTCCCACAGACAAAGTGTCTTGTCATTCGAGCCCATGACCATCCATCATTTATCAGGGAACACTGCTTTATGGCATTTGAACTCCACCACACTTACTATCAATTGCCCATCTCGTGAAACCACTAATGCCCACACCTCACAGAAATTTCCCTCCATCTTCTTCAACACAATGCCTATCTTCAAGTCCCACAGACAAAGTGTCTGGTCATTTGAGCTGCAGTGGACTTGGAGGGATTATGGGCGTCTTTCTCTAAGCTCTAGAGGAAGGAGGATGAGTAAGTACCTACTTTTACACCCCCCATTTCTAACAATGTTACTTTTCTTTCTTCTGAATGAGTAACTGCGCAGTTGTGGCCACCATCTCAAGACATGGTCAGTGCCTCCTTTCTTCGCTTTGGAGGTCTTGCTCGATATTGTTGAGACCACTTGGCTGTCACATGCTTTAAGTGAGTAATGCTTCCATGACTCTTTGTTTGCCTCTGACATCATTTTGGGCTTTTTATTGGACATGTTCAGCATCCGAACGCCGGACTGAACGTGAATCGAACATCTCAAATGCGTTCGAGCACGTTCAGTCCAGCATTCAGCAATTTCACTGTACTGAATAATGTTTAGGTATAATTAATAGAGACCCGCGGGTATACCCATCGAAAACCCATACCCGCCATCGGGGTACGGGTACGGGTTTGACTACTGATACCCGGGGGTATACCCATACAGTTCCCTAGCCCCACAAAGGGCACATGAAATGGAAATGGGTGTTCTCCTGTACAAGCAATGAGAGTGGCACTGGTTCAACAATGAGCATCCCTGTGTGGATCGCTGCTAGAATGGATCACTGGGAGAGCCAGTTTAATGAGGATGAGGGGGGCAGGTCTAGCTAGGGATGTGCATGGGTAAACCCTGGGGTATCATAGGTGCCACCCGTACCCTTACCCCAAGATGTACCCATACTCGCGCTGAGGGTATGGGTTGTAGTGACGGTGTAGAGGCTCGCGCCCCTACAGGCGCACTTCTAGCATCTTCCCCTCTCCCTCTATAGGCACCCTCACATCGTCAAGGAGGCACACCACACTACAAGCTGCTTTGGCACTAGCACATGCAGCCGCTCATGCTCGCACACTGGATCCTGTCACTTGTCCTCCGCACGCCCTATCCATGTCCTCCCCGGTCCATTGGTGCGTGTTTTCTTTTGTTTGAGTCACGCTGATAATATCTCCGCACCATACGACACTCCTCATGCTACAGACCCTCACTTACATGCTGTTACACACTGTACATACTTGCTTGTTCGGCTCTGCACCATGGGAAAGCGCTTAGCGGTACTTACACGTTTGAATTAGTTTTTGATACTTACTTCCGTTCCATGAGCATCACAGTCCATAGCCCCAGTTACTATTTGAATCCACTCAAGATTTCTTATCCGCACTTGCAATAATCAGTGCACGCCTTATATTTGGCGGCCGCATCATCAGCACATTCGAAGTGCTTCACGCAGTTTATACTCTTTTCAGCACATTTAGGCTTTAGCGCTCTACTTAGGTTTTCTAGACCGAAGTTCTAGTCTTGGATCTCCCTCACTTATATTAGAGGAATCTATTCTCAATAGCAATCCCCTTGGGACGACTGTTGCTCACTTCCAGAGGAGCACTTGAGAGCCTCACTACACACTCCCCCTAGTATCCATTTATCATTCCTCACCCTCAACGGGTAGGATGGTATAACACCCCAGGGTAACACCCATGGTGGGTATACCCTGCGGGCATAGTATACTATAATAAAATGCTACAAAAACGTACTACCTAGCTACTCAATGCAGTCCCAACCATTCTCGAGCTCGAGCTCATCAGTACCTTCAACATCAGGCAGGGAACTAATCTTGACAACATCTTCCGTCTTGATGAGGTTGAGGCGGCTCCAATAATTGAGACATAGGAGCGCTTGAGTAGACTGAGCAGTCAGACATGAGTGCATGTGAGACAGAAGGAGGCATCCCTGGCTGAACAGACGTTCGATGTCAACTGATGTAGCTATGAACATGTCAGAATGAACCCATAAAGGAGGGCGGGCATGGACTCACCAGGTATTGTTAAGTAGTCTAAGGCCATACAAGAAAGGTGGGGATATACTGCACGGCACTCATGCCACCAGGCAATAGGATCAGGGACATCCTCAATATCGGCATTGAGGTAGTGCTCCAGTTCATCCCCCAGGTCAGTTGACTTGGGTGGCGCCAGTGCTGGCATATTGTCAAATAAATTCTAAAAGTTGAGTTGCAGTTAATGATATTGAGCCGTGAATAAAAACACATACCTCATGAGCTGTAGTATCCAACATCTCGATATCATCTCTGTTCTCTTGAATCCCCACCTCGAGGTATGACCGTTCAAACTCGTCGCGGACAAGTGTGGCCGCAGTCTCAATCCAGGCATCCTCCCACCGTGTGTTCTTGAAATAGGCCAATTTATGGTGTGGATGCAGTACTGTAGTAAACAAAGGTCAGTATCATATTATTATTTAAATCAAAAAGACTCACCCATAGCAATCCGGTATACCTCAGACTTGTCCATCAACTGGTAGTACCGGTTGAGTGTTCATTTGGCAAGGTGAACAGCCGCACGGATAGAATTGGAATATTTCTTGTTGTGTGAGTATGTTAAGACCGTACTCAAGTAGTATCGGATCCGAAGGGCTTTGGCCTCAGCTCGTGTGCTGTGCCCCTTTCCCGAGTCTTGCCCCTTATTTCAGAGTGCTAGAGTATCATGTCTAGTGAGACGGATAAGTATTGTAACAGATCCATTAAGGCTTCCGGATATCGAACATATAGAGTAACGGCTAATCTGGATTGGATCTGAACTAGAAACTAATGGGTGAGGACTGTCCAAAGACAGAGACGGATATATAGACTATAGGAATCAATCCTAAGTCTCGGAGTAGACAAGAGTATTGTACTCGAGTCCGGACGGATAACGGAGGGACTTAGAGTCCTGACAGAATGAGTGCAATCTAAGATGATATTCGAACTGATCTACTACAGCGCATGTACAAGGGTTTATATACTACGGATAACTAACAGAATGATCAATAAGCAAGGACGCGAGGCTATGTACAAAGTATAAGCAAAGTATGTGTACAGCATATCGGTAAGTCAGATGGATAACGAATCATAACCGGGAATGAAGTACAAGCTAAAGCGGATCAGTAAGTGTAGCGGATCAGTAAGCATAACGGAAGTAAAGGATAACCGGTGAGGCGATCTCAACCTGGCTGGGCTGATATGAAATATCTAAAAATGCTCAACCAGTATAAGTGAGTCTTGGCTCTGCCTAGCTGCTATACTCGCAGAATGCAAGAACGTTCGACCCTAAAGGGGACTGCTACTGAACACAGAACCAGATGAAAGAAAGACCCTTGAGTGCGATGGATGCGCAAAAGCACAAGAAGAAAAGCGCAGTGAGCGCGAAGCGTGAGAGAGCGCACTAAGGTAAGCGCGAGCGTGGGAACGTGAGCGCTAAGGCGCGCATTGTGCAGGAAAATACTGGATAAGGAAACGGATAAGGAAGCGGATGTTCAAAGCGAGTGCAAACGCAGAGCGAGTGTTATAACGAGCGCGGATAAAGGTCTAGTATAGGCAGATAACTGATAACCATTGGAAACACAAAGTGCGCCCAAGTGGTGACTACTACTTTAAAGTAAAACCCAATAGCGAGGGAAGTACAGCAAAGGGGAGTAATAATGATGAAGTAGTAAGTCAGCAAACTTTATACTATGGAAATTGCATCGGAAGCAGAAGGGATAGGAGCAATAAGCGCTATGAATACGTAATGACATGTAATAGCGCTGCAATGCTTGTTACAAACCACGAGGCAAGGGATATGACGTACCAATGAGGTGGGTGGACATAAAGGGACGTTCCTGGATGATAGGCGATGAGGGCAATGCAGGGCGCTTGCAGGGCGCTTAGGCTAAGCGCGAGAAAGCGCGCAAGGTGCGCGTGTGGGAATGCTGCGCGTTGTGCGGGAAAGTACCGCGCCTATGGCGCGTTTCGCGGGAAAGCTGCGCGTTATGTGTAAAACGACTAGGGACATGATAGAAGTCGAATATAGCTGATGGTGCGAGTTGTGCATTGAAGGCCAATTGTCATGAGTTGTGAAAAGGTGCGAAATGTGCCTATATGTGCCTGCAGAAACGCGAGTCTCTACACCGGTATACCAGTGTACAGGAATGCCAAAAGGAGATGAACAGTAGTTAGAGTTATATGAACAGGACATGAAATAAGAATCAGATTGGATCTGTGGACTGGACGATGGATATGTCCATCAGATCTGGATCGGATCTGAGATCCAGATCTTCGGATCTGTACCCGGGAATATGGTATATGACAGAGTAGGTGGTGAGTCGTTCATCAATCAAATCCATCACGGGAATAACCTTTGCAAGGTTAGGTGTCCCCCGTGAGAAAAACAATGTGGTGTCCTTGAGAATCTTGAAAGACATGTTTAGTAAGCAATTTCCAGTAAGGGACCCACACCTATCTTCAATACATCCCGCAACTGGCTGGCTATCTCCCAATCACTGTCGACAAGCTCAAACTTGCGCAATCCTAGGTCATGCCGCTGAGTGACTGTGTCAATTGCTTCCCAATGGACAACAGCATTGTCCAGCATATCGAAGGTAGAGTTCCAGCAGGTGCAAACATCCCGCGGCATATTCATTGGAGTCATTTGCAGGTCGAGGAGGATTTTGTGCCAAGCAGGAAGAAAGATAGTTGTGGAATTGATCAGTTTGTAAGAAAGCTTGCACAGCTAGAGGGAGCCGTCAATATTGAGGTGTGCTTGATTTTTTTTTGATTTACCTTCAAAAGCACTAACTTTACCAGTCAGATATTTCTTTGCAGCTCAATCTGTTCATCCTGGTCCAACAGTGCTGCCTCATCCACCCAACCATCCTCATTATCTGGCAACTCCTCATCTCCAACATCGGCACTGGTGTTAGCATTGGCTCTGGCGTCTTCACTCTCAACTTCATTGCTCAGATTGGCAAGCTCCATATCACTCGCAACATCATCATGGTCTGTTTCTCTTGCAGCCTTCAAATTCTTTGTTATGTCAAACTCATGAAGCAGGGACTTGGCAATCAGATTCACGGTGTGTGACTTGCTGCCCCCCCAAAGTCAGGAAGCAAGTTCTGGAGCCCGTCAACCATGACGTTGTTGTTCAAGGTGTTATCGCATGTTACACTCAGTATCTGTGGGACAAGTTAGCAAGTAAGTTTTTTCTCCTTTTCCTAAATGCTTTGTACCTTGTCTGATATTCCAAATTCTTCTAGCATTTTTGCAAATACTGCTGCAAGTTCTGCACCAGTATGGGACTGGTCAAGTTGTCATGTCATTGTGTGTGGCCACCTCGTAAGTCTTTCACATACCTTCGCCACCTCAACAATGTCTAATGGCAGACTCAGTGGGATTCAGTTGTGCTCGAGATGGACCGATACTACCACAAAGGCTCTATGGTTGGTGGATGTCCATGCGTCTGTAGTAAAATTCATCTTGCCATCATATTCCTGGTAAGTCAAGTCAGTTTCATTCATATTGAGCATGAAGTCACTAACTCTCAACATTTTAGCAATATGTTGTCGAGTGCCCGCGAAAACAAGCTGTACGTCACGCAAGATAGTGGTTGGGGAAGGTAAGTAGTATTCCGGCTGGCCCATTTTCATTAACAATTGAAATCCTCAGTCTTTGACTATCTCGAACGGTCACAGGCTTTTGGAGACCCAACACACAAGCTCAGCTCTGCATCATGTTAAATTTGTCTGGCTGCATAGTGACAAAGACTTACTTGGTCTCAGCACGGGTGTGTTGATGGTAGGAGTATGTCACCTTCCCCTTCCCCTTGCGTTCAAAGGACGCCGTTATTGATCCGTCTTGCAGGATTCCCAGAGCGATCCTGGTGCGGACCTCACTTGCATCCTTTGCGTCGGCAGCAGCTTGCAGGGCTGCATCACCCCAACATGACTTGACATGCTTCTGCATATTTCCAGTGGACTGGGCATCTTTTTTATCCAGATACCGTCGGATGGTGGTCTTGCATCCTCATGCACTACACTTGAACTCATGTGCCCGCTGACCATCATTCTCAAGGATGCATGGTGTTGGATCAAAGAACACATATACTGGTGAGGTCCATTCTTTCATTAACTGTTCTATATTTTTTATTAACGTGAAGGTTTGCTTGAACAAGGGTGCTCATACTTAGCTCATCAGCAGCACTCTCGACACTCTTGACATCTGGGCTGGATGATTGGCGCTCAGCATCGTCGTCATCGGCATCGATGTCAATTGCAACGTTATATAAAGCAGCCTCTTCTTCCTCAGTCCGAACAATGGCCCTGCATACTACCGGCACTGGTGGTACTGGTGCTAGCTGCGGTGGAGGTGTTATTTCTTCCGAGGACGGTCCATCGCCAGAACCATCTGGTGGGGTAGCTTTAGCCTTTTTGGATTTGATGGCCACCATGCTTTCTCCACTTGTGTGGTTCTTCCTTTTCTTGGTCGAGGCACCATCAAGCTTCTCCTCAATAGCAGCTTTAGCCTTGTTGGTCAATTTGGTGACTCGTTTAGCAGTTTTCTAAAGCAAGTTGAGCTGCATGGTGTGTAGGCTGTAGGGAGCACTAACTATGATCTATCATTCCTAAATCTACATAGTGAGTATCATTAAGGTTTGACAACTGTACAGTAGCGGAGTTTTGGTATCTACAATTTGTTTTTGTGCATCAACCCAAGCCAAGGGTGCAGGTAAGGGTACAGGTGCGCTGGGACCAGACCCCCACATCAGTAAATTCACACATTGCTTAGCTTAGCTTTTTGAGAAATTAAAACTTATTTACAACTTATTTGTGTTTATTTACTTGAGCGCGTTCAACGAAAAGTAGCGCGCGACAAACAAGTGTGATAATTAGTCTAAATGAAGCGCGCACCAAACAAGCGCAATAAGGCAGAGATAAGCCATCAAAAGGACACCTTCATCAATTCAAGCAACATAAGTGAAGTAAGTGCTACATATACTCATTGCGGCTACTGTATTAATGAGACGGCATTAAGTACAGTCCATCATGGCAGCTTCAAACATGTTTGATTGTGGGAGAGGGAGGAAGCAGTGGCAATGGAGTGATGTCGAGATTAGGGCAGATATGGCGATCCAGGCTGAGGTAGTTGCAGAGGAGGCAGAGGCGATCGTGGAGGGGCAAGGCGGCTCGTTGAGCCTTTGGAAAAGGGCAAAGGGGTGGTGTGGGGACAGAGAACGAGACGGAAAGTGACCGTTTCATCGTCAATAGAATCGAGCCTGTAACGCGACCGTTTCGTCGTCGTCGATAGTATCGAGCTTGTAACGCGAATCCTTCGCATTGTTGCCTGGCGTACATCTTCCATACTTGAGTTGCAAGAGGGTCTTGTTTCGCAAGTTTTTCTGGGTCGATTTCATCAAAGGGAGATTCTAGGTCGGAGGAACCAGAAAGTCTAGGAGAGGTAAAGGCGCTGGGAGCATGATCTTGATGCGGGAGGGTGAGGAAGGTTTGTTTGAAGAAAGAGGAGAAGGTTCTGGATGGGAAGGTATTGTGAGCACCGAACTTTTTAGCGTAGCGACCAACGAACTGGCAGAGGGTGAAAGCCCATCCATGAAGACCTGAGCCGAAAGCAACGGTACCCTTGTCTGGGTAGAGCTGGAGGACAGGAGCAATCGTCCAGAACGAGTTCCAGAACAGTAGGTAAGTATACTCAAATACGCTGTTGGGAAAGTCAGCAGCTACGCAGGGTTGAGGCGAGTGCATAGCTCACTAAGCCGGAAATATGAGCGATATCCAAAGCAATACCATAAAGATATGAAAGACGTACTGCCTGTTGCCATGCCCAGTCTCCGGACATGAAATCCTTCCATCGGCGTGTGGAGTCCGAATGTGTCGTATTCACGAAACGGCACGTAGTCGATCTCATCCTTGTAATCAGGGTTGGCGAGTATGTTGTGTGCCATCGCACGGGGGTCCCTGTACCAGACCTCGAATTCATCATCCATCCATGGTGGGACAACCTCAGGTCGTTCTCCTGAGTATTGGGCCGAGAAACACTGCCAAGGGACATCACCGAGTTGTGTCGCATCTATAATGTTGTGTAGATCTTTGTGATCCGCGAATGGAGGGGTGTCATGGTGTCTCGCAAGAGTTGTGGCCATTAAGTCACACAAGAAATCCAAATTTCTTGCAGACATGTGACACTTTTTGAATGCGAACTCTGCTAGCTCGAATTCTATTCTGTTGCGATAGGGACTCCAATCATCAGGAGCCTTCAATGGTGCGGGAGTTGGGGGAGTGCCATGCGGCAGAAATGTTCCATCAGCTGCGCATGGTCGTCCTAAACACATACGAGTCAAAAACAGAGTACTGAAACTTGAAGGAAATGTACCGTTTAACACTGAATGATACGTACGAAAGTAACGCTCGCTCGCATCAGTGAATTCGGCATCAGTGCTATTTAAATCCTCGTGGACTGGACCAGTGAGTATGGGAGATGACGGCTGGGGTGGTTGTGAAAAATCCGGAGGGGGCAGTGAGAAATCTCGAGGGGGCAGTGAGAAATCTCGAGGGAGAGAGGGTGACCGGGATGGCGGGGGAAGTGGTGACTGGGGTGGTGATGGGATGTCCCGAAGGGACGGTCCTGAAGTAGGGTGAATCGAGCGCCTGTGGTGGGTAAGACCTGACTGGCTTCGAAACCAACGCAAGCATCCTGGAACAGGGCATGGAAGCTGATGCAGGTGGTGAACATGACGGGGAGGCATATGTGCTATGCTGGGATGTTGCTGTTGACAATCGACTCTCGAGTATTTTGAGGGCCAAAACACTCAAGGTTTGGGGCGCGGTTGTAATCACCACATTAGCACAGCCAAGGCAAACTTTAATGCTAAAGTGAAGGCTAGATGTGGGATGCGAGCAAACTGGTACCGAAAAGGCTTTGGTAAGTGTTGATGTTGAAGCTGGAAAAGCAGTGGTTAACCGCCGTTTCCTTGCACCTGCGAGCAAAAATTAATATACTAGAGGTGCGGGAAGGATCAGCTATCTCCTCACCAGACAGGTTTTAGTAAACGTCGACGCTAAAGCCACAACGGAAAATTGGTGGTAACCTCGGTCTCCTTGCACCCGGTACCAAAAAGGCTTTGGTAAACGTTGGTCTCCCTGTACTAGTAAACAAAATAAATATATTAATGGTGCGGGAAGTGTCAGCTATCTCCTCACCAGACAGGTTTTGGTCTCCTTGCACCCACAAATGAAAACTAACATGATGACGGTGTGGGAAGTGTTAGTAGACTATCTCGCCGGAAAGGTCTTGGTAAACGTTGATATCTTGCAGCCTGAGGCAAAGAGTTGCATTGATAATATTCTGGAAAGAATATTAGTAAAAATTGAGGTTCCACGGCAACTGCAACAGATCGCACCAATATATTAGTAGGTATGTCAGGGCACAAGTAGGTCATTTGGTCAGAATCAGCCTAGGCTTCAATTTTTGAAAAATTGTGACGGAACTCACCTTGTTGCCAACTACCACTGTCGTCTCTTTCTTCAGCCTTCCGAACCCCCCCATCGATACCATGTCTGAGCCTGCTAGCGCAGTTCCGAAACGCATGATGACTCGTCCTAAAAATGCAACTCAGCATCCAGGACATATCCTCACTGAGGCCGAAGGCTATACCAAAAGACGTACCAAAGCTCAAAAGTTCGCTGGCGACAAGCGTGAAAAAGAGGAAAAGCAGGCAAGTGAAATGGCTGTACAAGAAGGATATAAGCACGTAGCTGCATTTGAGAAAAAAATGCAGACAGACCAAGCTGCTAAACGTGCTGATGCACCAAAGCCTATTCGTCCCCGCCCACGCCCTGTAAAAAAGGTTGCGAAACCCATGGAGACCTCTAACTCGACTATGGCCGAGGATCAGGCCATTGGCGCTAAAGGCAAGGGTGGTAGGGCTAGAGATAAATCAGCAGCCGGTGCTAATGTCGAACATCCTGAGAGTGATGCAGAGGACGAGGAGCAGGAGGCGCGAGTGCCTGGAGCACGCAAAAAGAAGGGGAAGAGGACGGTGTTACCAGTGAAGACGCCAGTGAGAGACGCAATCAAAGCAGCTGGCCTTATCGATGACTCGGAATCAACAATGCCACGTGACAACGATAAGAAGTCTGGTGATGTGTAAGGAGCTTACTTCTCAACCATAATGCACTATCTGACTGAGATGGCTCTTTTCTTTTTCAATTTAATGCTTCATGGTGATGATAGCTCTACAGCAGGTCCTGCAAAATTCGGTGTTGCTGCTGGGCGTATTTCGCATTGGAGGTTGGAGATCCCTGAAGAGCTTACCTCCGCTGCCGCTGCCTCGAAGCACAGACGACCATCTACGATGCCTTCTGACTTCTCTAGTATGGTTCCCTCCTCTAAACTCACTAGGGGGAGTACTGTTAGTAGCGGTGGTGCCCCACTCACACCCATCAATACTATCACCGGTGCTGGGGCTGATAGCATGGCAGATCATTTTGTGACTCTGTTTGCAGACGATGATTTGGATGTGTTAAGACCGTACTCAAGTAGTATCGGATCCGAAGGGCTTCGGCCTCAGCTCGTGCGCTGTGCCCCTTTCCCGAGTCTTGCCCCTTATTTCAGAGAGCTAAAGTATCGCGTCTAGCGAAACGGATAAGTATTGCAATGGATCCGTTAAGACTTCCGGATATCGAACGTATAGAGTAACGGCCAATCCGGATCGGATCCGGACTAGAAACTAATGGGTGAGGACTGTCCGAAGACAGAGGCGGATATTGTTAAGACCGTACTCAAGTAGTAACGGATCCGAAGGGCTTCGGCCTCAGCTCGTGCGCTGTGCCCCTTTCCCGAGTCTTGCCCCTTATTTCAGAGAGCTAAAGTGTCGCGTATATAGAGTAACGGCCAATCCGGATCGGATCCGGACTAGAAACTAACGGGTGAGGACTGTCCGAAGACAGAGGCGGATATGTAGACTATAGGAATCTATCCTAAGCCTCGGAGTAGACAAGAGTAGCGTACTCAAGTCCGGACGGATAATGGAGGGACTTAGAGTCCAGACGGAATGAGTGCAATCTAAGATGATATTCGAACTGATCTACTACAGCGCATATACAAAGGTTTATATACTACGGATAGCTAACGGAATGATCAATAAGCAAAGTCTAAGTGGAGCGTATTGGTAAGTTGGATGGATCACGAATCATGAACCGGGAATGAAGTACAAGTGAAAGCGGATTCGTAAGTGTAGCGGATCAGTAAGCAAAGCGGAAGTAAAGGATAACCGGTATACCGGTGTACAGGAATACCGAAAGGAGATGAACGATAGTTAGAGTTATATGAACAGGAAATGAAATAAGAATCAAAGCGGATCTGTGGACCGGACGACGGATATGTTCATCGGATCTGGATCGGATCTGAGATCCAGATCATCGGATCTGTAACCGGATATATGGTATATGACAGTATCCCCCCCTTAGGGCCGATCCCTAGAGGCACAAGAATCAGCGATCCGGAACGGATGGTATGAGTGCGAGACAATGGAGAAGCTGATGGGAGAAGTTGCTGAGTTCGGATTCTGACAGATATACGGATGCCAAAGCGTCGCAGGGTGTTCCTTCCTTTCCCTACTTTTTCACTACCACTAGCTTATCTCAACCATGACTGATAACGGATCCGGCTCTAAGAAGACCGCTAAGCAGACTCTGGCGGATATCCAGGCCGCGCTGGCTGCTGCTGAGGCCGAGGTTCAGAAGGAGGAAGAGGCTGAAAAGCTGAAGCAACAAGCGGAAGAGGCGGAACGGAAGCGCTTGGCAGGGATTAAGAAGATTGAACGGGCTGAGGCCCGAAGGGAAGCGGAGGAGGCTAGGCGCAGGGCTATAGTGGCGGAAATGGTGAGTTATGACTTGTTCTATCGGATCCGTCCCTTATCGGATCCGTAGTCTCGCGCCATCTCAGCGGATAAGGATGGGGCTTGTACCCGCTGCGCTAAGAAGGGTCGGGCCTGTCTGTGGTCCGATGCGGATAGCAATTCCTTGGTAAGTCATCCTTGAATCTTCGGATCCGTGACTCTTAACATTCGGATAGATCAAGGCTTGTAACGCGTGCCGGAAGGACAAGGCTCCTTGTCCCGGACGACCTGGAACCGTTACGGATTCCAAGTCTAAGAAGAGGCAGCGCGCTGCTGAGAACCCATCTCCGAGAGGCAAGGGTAAGAAGCGCCAGCAGAGTCCAACTCCGGATCCGGATATGAAGACGGTAGTAGCGGATGAGGTGGAAGTGGAGTATGATGATCAGGCCTGGGTCGCGGCCGCTAATAGCATTGTAGCGGAACTGGCTCGGACCAACGGATTGCTCCAGCAGAGCATCGGAGCGGCGGAAGGGAGTAGGACTGCTATAGAGCGGATGAATACTAACTTGGAGGCGTTTTTGGAGCAGCAGAGGGAGTTCCAGACCATCCTTCTTGAGGGGATCCGGAATGGAATCCGGATTACAGAGGCGGCTCGTTCTGAGGCCACTGACAAGGACGTTGAAGAATCCGGATCCGGATCCGGATCGGGTGGGGACATGGAGATGGATGGCTGAGGATTTTCGGATCTGTCCTTCTCTGCTACTAATGTACTTGTATATCCGCTTTGTATATTCATTGTATAGCAATAGGACCGGGTTTGTCTGGATATGCAGTGTGGAAATCCGAGACTAGATCGGACGCGTTTCCGAGTTCCGTGGCTAGTAGCCATGAAGTCTCTTCGTCTGTTCCTTCGTATCCGGACCATCGGACGAGGTATAAGAGTTGGCATTGTCTTCTACGACGGTCCAGCTTAGAGTCTAGGATTTCGGATATCTCATATTCTGGTTCTCCGTCGACTTCGACCGGAGGTGGAGGAGGCTGGATCCGATTGGGAATTGTGTTCGGAACGGATGGTTCTAGCTGTGAGACGTGGAAGACGGGGTGGACGGATTTCATGGATTCGGGAAGTCGGATGGTAAAGGAATGGGTACCCGGACGGGATATGACTTCAAACGGACCTAGATTCTTTTCCGAGAGTTTCTTAGACGGACGAGTGGACCGGAAGTACTTAGCCTTGACAAAGACTTGGTCTCCGATATTGATATCCGGAGCAGGTTTCCGTTTGGCGTCCGCAGGTCCTTGATATCTTTCTTGGGCGTGAGCCATTTCTTCTCTAAGGAATTGGTGAAGGTCGTCGAGGTCTATAGCATAGTCGCGAGCGCGGATGGAGGATAGATCGCGTTCCGGATGGACGGATATGTTCGGATGATAACCCTTATTAGCAAAGAAAGGCTGATACTCCGGTAGTAGCACTTGGAGCGTTATTGTAGGCAAATTCTGCTAAGGGAAGTAGTTCCGACCAGTTGTCCTGTTGATAATTGCAATATATCCGAAGGTATTGTTCCAGGGTTTGGTTGGCACGCTCGGTTTGTCCATCCCCTTCCGGATGATATCCGGATGTGAAGTGGAGGACCATATCCAATGCTTTTCCTAAGGATCGGAAGAAGTGGGATACAAACTCTGTACCGCGATCCGAGGTGACATGGGACGGAACTCCGTGCTTGGAAAACACATGAAGTAGGAATAGACGAGCGAGATCCGGAGAGGTAATGGTATCGTGAGTCGGAACAAATATTGCTTGTTTGGATAAACGATCTATGATAACGAGGATGGCTGTAAAGCCTGATGAGTCCGGAAGTTGCTCTATGAAATCCATGGATATGGAATTCCAAGGCTTTTCCGGTATGGGTAGTTGCTTGAGCAATCCGTAGGGTTTATGTCTCGGAACCTTGGCTCGGGCGCAGGTAGTGCAGGACCGGACGTAGTCCTTAACATAGGTGCGTATACCCGGCCATGTATACTCGCGTCGGATGAGGTCTAGGGTTCGGTTTTGACCAAAATGTCCGGATAAGGGGTGATCATGAGTATTACGGAGGACGCGAAGTCGAAGGTTATCGGATTCTGGGACATATATACGGTTGTCGCAACGGAGGAAACCCCTATCGTCCACTGTCCATCTCGGATCTGAAGGTACCGGAAGATGGTTGGTTGCAATAGGGTCATTAGGAAGTGCGGTCAGGATGTCTTTCCGAAGGTCATCAATATCCATTAGAACAGCTGCTCTAAGAACCGGAGTTGCTAAGGTTGAGGCTCGTAGGGACGAAGCTAACTGTTCGGACGTGAATACCGGACGGAAGTTATGAGGGTTAACTCGAGCGTAGTCCTTATCCCCCTCTTTGGGATAGACGTCCCAGCGTCTAGTAAGGGAATCCGGTTTAACTCCGAGTTTTCCGGGACGGAAGCGGATGACAAGATTGAACTGATGGAGGAATTCCGACCAGCGGGCCTGACGGCGAGAGAGGAGTTTGGTAGTGGCGAAGTACTCAAGGTTCTTGTGGTCCGTGACAACATCTACAGGCTCGGCCGAGCCTTCTAGATAATGTCGCCAGGTCCGGAAAGCTTCGTATATAGCTAGAAGTTCCTTATCGTGGGTGTCATAGTTAAGTTCCGGAGCGGTTAGCGTTCGAGAGTAGAACGCTACCGGACGAAGCTCTGAGTCCGGACATACTATGGATAGTATTCCAGCTATAGCGTAGTCAGAGGCATCGGTTTCCACAACTATAGGAACATCCGGCATCCAGTGCGTAAGCACCGGAGCCGTAGTGAAGGCTTTCTTGAGTTCTTCGAAGGATTTCCGACATTCATCGGAAAAGTTCCACGGAGCATCCTTGCGTGTAAGCCGTGTTAACGGAACCACGATATCCGAGTAGTTGAATATAAACCGTCTATAGAAATTTGCGAATCCGAGGAAGGATTGGATATCCTTGACTTTCCGAGGTTCCGGCCAGTCAGTAATAGCTTGGATCTTATCGGACGACATAGTTAAGCCGTCCGGAGATAGGAGATATCCGAGATATTCAACGGAGGTGGAATGGAATTCGCATTTTTCGGGTTTGGCATAGAGACGATGTTTACGGAGTCGACGGAGTACTTCTCGGACGTGTTGCTTGTGGGACGCAAGGTCATGGGAATAGATGAGGATGTCGTCCAGATATACGATAACGCATACATCCAGCATATCAGCAAACACGCTATTGACAAAGCGCTGGAATGCTGCTGGAGCGTTAGTGAGACCTTCCGGCATCACCAACCATTCATAGGAGCCATAGCGCGTTCGGAAGGCAGTCTTCCATTCGTCCCCTTCCGCTATCCGGACGAGATGATAAGCGGATCGGAGGTCGATTTTGGTATAAACTTTAGCACGGCTCGGAGAGTCTAATAGGTCGGCAATGAGGGGTAATGGATATCGGTCTTTCTTAGTGATCTGGTTGAGTCCACGGAAATCCACACAAAGGCGGAGGGATCCGTCCTTTTTCTTGACAAATAGGACCGGAGCTCCGTGAGGAGAGGATGAGGAGCGGAGGAGTCCAGAGGCAATATTTTCATCAAGAAACTTCCGGAGGGCTGCAAGCTCGACCGGGGATAGAGAATAGATAGTTCCGAGGGGAGGACTAGTTCCTTCTTCCAGATCTATGTTCAGATCATAAGGACGATGTGGAGGAAGCTGACCAGCCTTTCCCTTGTCGAAGACATCCGCAAACTCGTGATAGTCCGAAGGAATTTGGGATAGATCCGGA